CTTGCTATATTTTGAAACTATCATGAAATTTTATTTTCCCTAAGAGTGTGTGTGATTGAATCCATAGTTTTCAGACTCCGACTGAAAACAAAAACTAAAAACTGAGAAAGTAAACTGATATTTCCAGTTTCTAAGGAAACAAAAGCTGAACCGAAGATTGGAATCCAAAACTGCTGGGGAGACTAAAACTAGGTGGAGCCATATAAAAAGTACACAAATCTTCAGAGTTCAGATGATTATGATCCTACTGGGGCAACACAGACAGGCTAAACAATGCAGAGATTAGATCCAAAAGCTTTCAGTTGTTTCTGTTACTTGAAGATTAACATTGGTACACTTATACCACCAAAACTAATGTAAGCAGTGTTAAAGACGTTCTGCAAATATCTGCCATTTTTGGTAAGATCATGCCCATGGCAGTTTATGTGCTGCACTTGACTTGGGATCAATCTAGCTGCTAGAAGAGGAACACTGCCACAGAAGGCTGTGGAGACCAGGTCATTGAGTACATTTAAGACTGAGATAGATACGTTCTTGATTATCAAGGGGATCAAGGGTTATGGGAAGAAAGTGGGAGAATGGGATTGAGGAAATTATCAGCCATGATTGAATGGTGGAGCAGACTCGATGGGCTGAATGGCCAAATTTCTGCTCCTATGTCTTATGGTCTTCAGGAAATATCTTATTGAGGAAGACAGGGTTTGTGAAGAGCTTCATGACTGAGATTGATTATAAATACTGAGTGGAGTGCAATCATAAGAACTGCTTTAGTTGTACCTGTCATTTAATGCTTGATTTATAGTTTATAATACACTACAATTTGCTTGTTAATTCATGTTTAACTTATATTTATTTTAAAGAATAGGTGGTTACAATAGATATTCGTTTCAGGACACGTTGAGAAGGATTAAAGGAGACGACATTATAGGCTCATCAACTGTGGCATGGAGCACAAAAGCATAAAAGGGGAAATTAAACTTTTATAGAGATATTCAAAATCATACCACGTTTAGACAGAACAGATAAGGAAAATCTGTTTCTGCTGGTGGACGAATTAACAACCAAAGGGCACAGCTTTATCGAAGCAAGCAATGACCCCTGGAAGAAAACAAAACTTCCATCACGCAGCCAGAGGTTTGGATATGCACTGCCTGAGTGTGAGGTGGAAGCAGATTCAGGCACACATTTGGAAAGGGATTGGATTATGATCTGGAAAGAAAGAATATCCAGGGCTACTGAGAGAAGGCAGTGAGTGTTTCTCATTGAATTACTCCGATCAAATGATAGCACAGATACGACAGGCCGATTGGCCGCCTTCGCTGCTATAATCATTGTACATTCAACCGTATTTTTTTTCTTTCCTGTATGTTTTTCTGAACACTGATGTGCTTCTTGGCCGGATTTTATTTATATGAGACACCTGTCTGCTCTTGGTGAGGGTTTTAGTCCTTTTCAAACATAAAACGAATTAAAATAGTAGCAGGCAGCTCTAGTGGGTATGTTCCCGAGAAGAGGGCGCTCAGCAATCTCAAAGGTACCGAGCACGCTGCTCCCTTGATCCCTTTGAGATACTGCCTTGGCGCTATCACACAAGGTGAAGGAAGAGGATGTGTCCAATGTCAAGAAATGTGAGTGGGCCCTGGCCGTAAATACACCCGGGCCATTTAAACGGAGTATCTACCGGTTCCTGAGTTGTGCGATGGTTTTAAATTCTCCCTTACAGGTTGTGATCGAGGATGTGCAGCTTCCTTCAATCGATAGTGGAAGCAAACTATTTTTGTCATACAATCCGTAATGGTCACATGCTGTAACGCTGTCTTTACTGAGCACCAGCTATCGTCGTCCAATGGACATTCTGTGAAAGATGTTTGTCGCTGGAGACTGACGGCCCATACCAAACCGACTCTGTGGTGCGATCTGGAGTTTGCGCAGCAGTTTTAAGTAGTTGGTAGTGAACCAGAAGCCGTTTTACATCTCCCAATGCTATCTAAACAAATCCATGCCTAAGGTGTTGCTTCCAGTTCTTTGAATGTCAGAGATTTTTTAACTGATGACGAATTTAAGACAATCACCTCTTTTCATCGTCAAGGAAATTGTTTTATTGTTAATATTCCACGTGGTGAAAATACTAATAAAAAACTGAACAGAAACCTTTTTGTGAAATATGTTCAGTATTATGAGGGCTTAAAATAAAACTACCAGCCGTTTGCTATAGGACTAGATAGAGAATTACCCTTATCAATTAATAGGGCTGCGCGCCAGATTGGCAAACTGTGCATGGTACTGTGACCCAATGTACAGTACATTAGTCACTTTCGTATAATGATTACTATGGCTGTTTTACGGTTATTTTGATGTGGTTCACTGAAGCAACCATTCACTTGTGATAGGATGAAAAGAAGAATAAACTGTATAATGTTTGAACACTCTGCACAACAAAGTAAATAGACAATAAACAAATAAGGGACGGTCGATTAAAAAGAAATGACTAAATTACATTCATGATCTATGTCCTGTTGACCATGGCTTCCGCTGCACAAAACTGTCACCAATTTAGCAATAATCCAAAACAAATTGTTATCCTAATGCAGACTGCACAGCATATGAAAAAAAAACTGACATGCGGATGCAGTAGAGATTAGTGTTCATCATTTGAGGTTCAGATACTTTGTTGTTGGAAAACATTTTGTCTGAATCTATTCCTGCTCTATCTGCCTGGAAGTGCTGATGGCAACATCGACTGCGTTGACAGGCAATGTTTCATACCCCAGGACTAACATTCTTTGTCCTTATATGCAAGAGATCACCAAAACAAATTAAGATAGCCATGTTGACGAGAGTTCAATTGAAAATAATTTGGTGAAAGATAATACAAAAACAGTGTTCAGTAAAATTCAAAGTTCTGGCAGAAGCAAAATTTGGTTATTGCTGCAAATGTATTTTTTTCTCCTCAAGGTGAGGCTGACACTGGTCTGGCTGTTTACTTTTGCCTGCCTATGGTTACTTCACCACTCCCCATGCCTTCAATCCTCAAGTGGTGTTGGAACTTTTCATGGAATGCTACAAGGACATGTACAATCAGACTGAAGCAACTCTGCTTTTACTCTCACCCTACTGCATCACACCTGACCTTCAACACCTTTTTGATACATATTTGCATTAGGAGTGCACAATGTGGACAATTTCCAAGGGGAACCCACTTCCTAGGCAAAGACATTGGAACTTTAGGCAAGGATCTTAATCTCTGTACTCCACACAATTAATGCAACACAATTCTTTAAGAAATGACTTTATTTTATCACATTTTATGTATACAAAATTAATAACAATTTACAATGAAAGTTACTTTCATCCAAATGATAGAAAAGAAAATGAAGAGTATCAGTGCTGTTTCTTTTTCTATATGACATGATTGTGCCATTTTTGCTAAAATAAAGTGCATTTCACTATTATATTATAAAAAACACACTTCTACACAACACTATATTCTTACATTTATTGTTCAGTTGCATTTTGACAGCTACAAATAGACAACGGCTAACTTCTCACCCTGACATGAGATGTCAGGCAAGATTTAAGTCTTTCATGTACTCACAAACACTATTTACAACCTCGCACTTACACTACTTTAAAAAGTAACTTTGATGCCAATTTTCAATTGTTCAAAAATGGAAAATTCTACAGTTATTCTAGGAATGTAAATGACATGAATTGTGAAGTGCCAAGGAGCCAATATCTGTATGTATGAAATCATCACCAGTGAGATAAAATAAAGTGCAGTAAAGTGACTTAATAATATATTTTGTGGTTTTTAAATACATTTTGCCACGTTGTATGATACATGCTGGTTCCTTTTACAGAATTTAGATTAGTTTAGAAAATTATTAGCTTGATGCAATCTACAGGGGATTAGAATTCCTATGTAATTTTGTGGATTCAAGTTTAGCTTGAGATATATGTTCAAATCCAAATATGACAGTGTAACTTACTCAATGCCTTTAAGTTATTTAAAATATATTAACATTACACAACGGCTGTTTAGGATACAAATTATTCATTGGCGTCAAACCACAGGGCTTAGTGCACAGGGTTTTATCAATTATCATGTAAGTTATTTATTGAGATGGTATATGATCTCTACCAAACTACACTGTATATTGATAACAATGAAATTATAAGATGGCGAATCAGGATTCTTTGTTTTTTAAGAAGTGCTCCTCTTCCCACAAATGGACCTCCAAAAGTTTAATTATTGTTTTGAATGGTTAGATGCCGAAAGCTATAGTCAAAGGATCAGGAAAACAAAGTGAAACTCAACCCATTTCATATCTCAAGTATAGTGTTATGATGCTCACTTACTGAAACTATTCTGAGACTAAGATATACTTAAAATATTCAAGCTTATTGATAATGTGATTTTGTCTTTCAAACCTCCACTTATTGAAAGCATTATGCATCATCTTGGCAATCTACTATATTTTAGTAACACTACCTTTCACAGTCAAACATCAAGATGTTGAAAGTCCTGGTGAATATGTAGTGATTTCTTACAGTATTGCTGTCTATATGGACAATGTCATAAATAAAAGTTTCGTATTGATGACGAATGGAGTGAGCTGTCTCCGAGTAATTGAAAATACTAATGACACCTTCCCCCATAAAAACGTAAGATACATAAAACATCAGCAATACAGAAACGTTAACCACAGTAACCTGTTAATCTTCGTATTTTAAAGCTAGGTAATGCTAGTGAATGACATTTAACGAAAAAGAAACCAAGGAGGACACCCCTGCCAGCACATTCATTTTGTAACATCTCCCGAGTTCGGGGATCTCGTTCCAGCGCCAGTGAGAGGACGCTCCCCAGCCCCCGAGAATTTACCTGAAGATCAAAGTTATAAGAAGCATGGGAGTGGCATAAATTACGGTGCTAAGTGGAATTGCCTGAGAAACCGTACTGGATTTTCCCCTCTCTTGAAAGTGGTCCCTTTACCAACTCATTATACGTCGCTAGGGGACCGTGCTCGCAGTAAGATGTTGGGAGGGATACATCCACAGCAGATAAGCCAGAGCGCCTTCTGGATCTCCTGGTTTCGGAAGGCGTAGATGACAGGGTTAATGATGGAGTTGTAAGTGGCTGGTAGGAGGGTGGCATAGGTGTAGATAGAGGGGTAGGTGTAGTCCGCTATTAAGCAGTAAACAGTGAAAGGCATCCAGCAGGCAGCAAAGGTGCCCAGTATGATGGCTAAGGTGGAGACCCCTTTCTTGGTGGTGACATAGTGGGACGTGGCCAGGAAATGGTGCTGCAAGGCGATCTGATGGGCGTGTCTCATGACAATCTTACAGATCTGGATGTAGAGCTGGAGCATCATTGCGAACATGAGCAGGAAGGAGACCGAGAGCACGGCCACGTTGTTTTTCGTCAGGGGCTTGATGACGCTACACGTGGACTCATCTTTCAGGCAGTTCCAGCCCAGGACGGGCAAAAATCCCAAGCAGCTGGACACCCCCCAGAGCACGACCAGCATGATGTAGGTGAAAGTGACCGTGCGCTCCGAGTTGTAAGTCAAGGCGTAGTAAAGTGAGAGGTAGCGGTCGATGGTGATGGCCATGAGGCTGCAGATGGAGGCGGAGAACGAGGCGACCACCAGCCCCACGGTGAGCAGCTTGGCCGCTTCCGACTGCAGCAGATAGGCGAAGGCGAAGTTGGCGATGAGGCCGACGCCCGCTAGCAGGTCAGCCACGGCCAGGCTACCGATCAGCACGAACATTGGGGCACGCAGGCTCGGGCTGTGCAGGATGGTCACCACCACCACGGCGTTCTCGCAGGAGATGACAGTGCCCGAGGTGCACAGGACCACATCCCAAGGATTGACGCTCTCCGAGAACGGGACCACCGAGGCAACCGCTGCCGAGGTGTTCTCGCCTGTCTGGGCCACCCAGCGACCAGACTCACGGGATGTATTTTGGAAATCTCCGTTCATTATCTTCTCTCTTTTTTTTTGTTGCCCTAACGCTAGCAAACAGAGGGACACATTTCCAGGTTACTGCAAATACCCGCCACCTCCATGCAAATCACATTTGTTGTGTGAACGCGAAAAAGGAACATCCTATGATTGCAAATACATGCACCTTAATCTTGTCACAAAATTTTAAGAAAAAAAGAGCTAATGCATTGTGCAAATTGAAAAAAAATAAAAATTGCAAATAAAATGCACAAATGACAAACACTCTCGGTTACCTCGCCTGTCTGATGCACAGCCCCCATGTGTTCCTTATTACTGCACCATCTTCCCCCTGCGCTTTTTTTTTCCGCTCCTGTCCTCAAAATCTCCGCTGCAGCACGCAGGGCTAGAGGGACGCCCCCGGTTGTTGTTAAAAAATCACGGCTCAAAGGCTTTGTGCGTGCCCAGACGTTGCTGCTATTGCCCTGGCGCGGTCCATCAGCCAGCAGCCTGCTCAACCTGCCGCTGCATGTGTCCACGGCAGCGGCTCAATCACTGCACCAACGTCATTGCCAGCTACAAGAGTCAAGCAAATTGAGCGAACCAGCCAGTGCAGTTATTAAAGGCATCTCCACCGCTAAGCAGTGCGCCCAACAATTCACCACAAGAGCATGTGCTTCTTGCAATGACCCGCCCCATCATCACAACATGCAGCGTGAAGTAAGTTGCAGGCACAGTCACTCGGGAGCATATCTGCATGAGTCTCATTACTGGCAGCGGGATTTTACTCCATGTGATATTATTGGTGTCCTGATCCATCGCTGGCTTTCTCGAGCGGTTTCAAACCCATGATGAGATTGCAGGCAGTAATCACTCAGGTCTTTCTCATTATTACAGGAACAGATGAATATAAATTAACTTACCCTGATGAACAAGTGACCCTCCAGGTCACACACACACACACACCATGCTTCCTTGAAACTGTAAGATCATCAGCTGTTCCTGGATCAAAATCCTACAATTCTCTAGCATCCCTGTGGATGCACCTACAGCACATGGTTCTAGAAGATAGCTCACCATCACCTTCTCAAGAGCAGTTGGTGATGGATCAGAAGTGAATACATAGAGTTACACAACACAGAAAGAGATCCTCCGGTCCAACTCGTCTGCACTGACTAGATATCCTAAACCAACATCGTCCCATTTACCACATAAATATCATAATTTATGATTAATAGTGACACATGAGTGGATGGATAAGTCTTAGCATTTGATTAATGTACTGTTGAGAAAAGTTTATTGTTTATACCAAATGAACAGATCAATAGGCATCTCTTGTCTGTCACAAGCATCAGCCAGTGGTTAGAGCTAAACAAAATACTTCTCAAAAACACTTTCCAAATTACCCCATCGCACGCACAAAAACAAGAAGCCAAAGTGATCATAGACCCCTTAGAGAATGAGGGTGCAGAAAAAATAGCAGAGAACCAGGCAATGAGTTTGAATAAATACTTTGCACCAGTCTTCACAGTAGAATATTTTTAAAGCAATCAAAAATTACAAAAGAATCAAAGGGAAAAAGGGGAGAAGGAATAAATGCAATAGCTATCAGTAGAGAAAATACAGTGCTGGGGAAAATAATGGGGCTAAAGACAACTAAGTCTCCTGGACTCCATGGGATGCCTCCTAGGAAGTTAAAAGAAGTAGCTACAGAGAGAGTGGATAAACTGGTAGCAATCTTCTAAGAATCCTTAGATTCTGGAAAAGTTCCAGATGATTGGAAAACAGCCATTGTGATATCCTTTGTCAAAAGGAAAGGAGACAAAAAGAAGGAAACTATAGGCCAGTTAGCTTAATGACTGTTATTTGGAAAAGTGTTAGAATCTATGATAAAGGATGTAACCACAGAGCATTTAGAAATATATAATATAATCAAGTAGAGTCAGCACGGTTTCATGAAGGGGAAATCATGCCTGACAAATTCTTTACGTTTCTTTGAGAATGTAACGAGAAGGATCAATAAAGGGGGAGCAGTGGATGTAAAATATTTGGATTTCCAGAAGGTGTTTGATAAGGTACAACACATTAGGCTGCTTAATAAGATAAGGGCCCATGGTTTTTGAGATGGTATATTGGCATGAACAGATGATTTCCTAACTAATTGGAGTCAGAGAGTTGCAATGACGGGTAGCACTTCCAGGATGGCATCTTGTAAGTAGTGGAGTGCCACAAGGATCAGTGCAATAACTACAGTTATTTACAATATGTATTAATGAGTTGAATGAGGAAAGTGACTGTACTACAGTTAAGTTTGCGGTTGACATAAAAATGAGTGGGATGATACAAAGGGTAGTGAATCTTTGAAATTCTTTACCATAGAGGGCTGTGGATGTTGGGTCATTGTGTATATTGAAGGCTGAGATAGACACTTAGATCAGTAAGGAATCAAAGGTTATGGGTGAAAGGCAAGAAAGTGGAATTGAGATCAGTTCAACGATGATCTCATTGAAAGACTGAGCAGACCCAATGGGCTGAGCGGCCTGCATCAGCTCTACGTCTTTTGTGATTCGATTGGCCGAGATCATATTACATGGTGGGGCAGACTTGATGGGCTGAATAGCCTATTCCTATTCCCATGTTCCTAAATCCACTCATTCCAGAGCTGAAGCCAGAAAATCATGAAATAGTGATGAAGTTAGTTGTTTTATTAAAGGACATTCATAGCAATAACCTCAAATGATGCAGCACGCTGGCATTCTAGATGGCTGAAACAATTACATTTTAGCATCTACAGGATGATTATCCTTATGATCTCTAGTAGCAAATCAGTAAGAGTAGCTCCTGAAAAATGTTGACTATAAAAAATGTTTGCAATAACAAATATTATACAAAAAAAATTAACCGAACCTCATTTCACAGACTGTAACATAGTGTTCTCCAGAGACCTGTACTCATGCCTCCACTTTCCAACATGTATGTTAATATTTGGAAGAAGGAAGAGAGTTATGCATAATTTTTTTAGAGGGGAATGTAGGTTGTACAAAAGGGACCAGGAAATTGCAAAGGACATAAACAGATTAAGTGAGTTTGTGGACATAGGAATTTGAATGTCCCCTTACAGGGAATGACCCATATCAAGTAAACATAATCTCTAACTACGTGGAATTTTTCCATCACTTCCTTCGGTATCTCTCGTATAGATGGATTTCTAAATGTGGCAGCCACCCAAATGACAAAAGGGAATCACCTAGATTGATTTATTGGTAACTGTAGTTGAACATGCTTAATAATTTTCTAACTGAAATCTGCTGATTTGAACCTGAAGTTGCCAAAAGCAAAGAAGTTGACTTCCACAAGGAGAATCATGATAAGTGAAAACTGTCACTGCAATTCTTTATTCAGGAGTTTTTTTCTAACCTGCACTGAGTGTACTTTTTCAATGTAATGGAGGCCTTGAGTCAGCAGTTCCAATTCTGATTCACATCCTTGATGGCCAAGGGTTCATAATGTGGTCAAATAGGTTGAGCTACAACCAGAAAAGCCTTAAACACATGTTCATGGCAGGTGGTATGAGCAGGAAAGATTTCTGGTTAGCCATGTGGTGGAAAAAATTTAGAGCCTTTACCATCGCTATTTATAGCTCCAGACGACTGTGTGCCCATTCCCTCAGCAACTCCAATTCCCTGAGTGAACTGTAACAAAACACTTCTACTGACTATGCTTCGAATCAATGTCCTCTTCTTATTCTGCTTTTGCATTGGAACTTCTATTTATTAGAATGATCTAGACAAAGGAATATGTAAAGCTGCTAAAAGAAATTCTGAACTTATAAAATCAATGGATGGTTGAAACTCCACACGTCTCTGTAGCATAAAAACGCATATTTAGTTACATTTGAAACTGAGTTTTTCATTGAATCAAGTTTTGGGAAGAAGAATTGGAGAACAGTGAAGTAAAAATATTAATAATACCACAGTGAACCCCTGAAGAATTTATTCAACATGCTAAAGACTTTTAAAAAAACGAATCCAAAATACAGAACGTATGGTATTGACATCAACACAATGTCAAAAAAAACTGCTGCAAAAATTTCTGAAGAATTAATTTATCATTAGAAAAAAAGATATAAAAACTACAGATGGCAATTGGGAAAGCACCTTACAAATAGGTGGGATCAGAATGTTATTTTTCTTAATTAGTTATATTAATTTTTAGTTTTGTAATTTTATGATATGTTCAATTTCATTGATAAAATGACAAATAAGCAGCTTTCTTCATCTCACCTGTAGCTCAACCCTATAGCCTTCCAACAAAAGTTTGAGCATTGGTGAGTTGAACAAGAGCACTCACAAAACCTGGCAGGTTGATGTGATAAAAATAGATAAATTGAAAGATAATCAAAGGAGCACATGAACAATCTCCCTCTTCTCCTGGGTTCTATGCTATTAAGTCAATATGTGGTAAAAACACTGAAATGAATCTTAAAGACACTTTTTATGCTCAATATTAGCATTTGTAAAATGGTAACTGACCTATTAAAATCATTAACCTAGCCAGAAATCATAAAGAGTGATATGTTATTGCTAAAACTAGGGGGACTATATAAAGATATTGACATGATTTTCAAAGTCAAGCTTGATTTTAAGACCTTAGTGCCCGTTGCCAATTAGTAAGACATGCAATAATAAAAGAAAATTGTGGTGAATGAAATTAAAGATTAATTCATTAGAAGCTGCATCCACACCAAAGAAGCATTATGTCATATCAGTACATTTATTTTAATAAATTTCTCCTAAAATAGCAAATTTTGATTGACTTAGGCAAAAATATATAAAGCAGAAATTAGACACGAGAAAGTTATACAGTGGCATTCCCACAGGGTTTGCTATGATAACACCTCCTCATGTTGCTATATATTGTTGCTTCAGAATTGAATAATGTGGACTTACTTTTAAAGATTGCAGATGGCACACCTTTGAAATTATAGCAAATAGTAAAGAATATTGTAGTTGACTTTGGGCAGGTTTATGAATAGCAAA